TATATATAACATTACAAAAAAAAAAGAATATCATTAAATGATGTGGGAAGTTGTATAATAAAATTATCACTTAATTATTTTCTCATAATATATATGTTAAATTCATGAATTTAGAAATATAATTAATTTATGTAAAGGTTACATGTGTGAGTAGGTATAAGATCAATTGGTTAGGAATATAGAAACTGAGACCTTGTAAATTGATAGGGTTTCTGTACACTTTGTACTTAATTACTAAATAATCTTTAATTTCTTTGGTTATAAATAATCTCTGATATAGATAGGCAGGTCCCAACTCCAAACTAATGGTATTAGCATTAGTAAAACACTATTAAAATCCTCACCTTCAGCAACATGGAAGCATGTTGCTGAAAGTGCTTTTCATGTTGGTGAAAGTCCTTTAGCAACATGGGTTTGGTTGCTAAAAGTTTTGTTGGGAAAGGCTTGGAGGGTAATACATTACCAACCAAAATCATGTTGCTAATATATCAACAACATAAGCTATGTTGCTGAAAAAAAAGTATCAGCAACATAGCTTATGTTGCTGAAAACTTTCATTGGAATTCGATGATCGGTGGGGGTGAAATTTCTCACCCCCTTCAGCAACATAGGCCATGTTGCTAAAGATGGAGTTTTAGCAACGTGGCTCATGTTGCTAAAAATTTCGAGGAATGTTGCAGAAATTTGTCACCGAAAATTTATCAAATTTTCAGTAAGAAAAGCCACGTTGCTGAAACCCTATCTTTAGCAACGTGGCTTATGTTGGTAAAAGTTTAAGGGTTGAGTGGTTTATACTTTTCAGCAACATATTCTTTGTTGCTGATTGTAGACTTTCACCAACATGCTCCACGTAAGTAAAAAAAATGGATGGATTCCTCCCCACACTTTCGATCCATTTTCAGCAAGCAAAGCCACGTTGCTGAAACCCTATTTTCAGCAACGTGACTTATTTTGGTAAAAGTTAAGGGGAGAGAGTGTTTGCACTTTTCAGCAACATATTCTTTGTTACTGATTGTGTATTTTCACCAACATGCTCCACCTTGGTAAAAAAAATGGTTGAATTCCTCCCACATTCCCGATCCATTTTTAGCAAGCAAAGCCATGTTTGTATTAAATATATTACATTAATTTTTTTATCTGTATTAAATTTAATAAATTTATAATCTTTGCAAATAAAATTTATTTTTTAATCATCAAATACATATTAATTATTTTAAAATCTCACATACAATATAATTAATATTTATATATTAATTATAAACATTAATCAATTTTTTAGCT